GAATGAATGTTATATACAATTACGTAAATTTTCATACAACTCATTCAAATATCAATAATATCAAGGCATAGATTCTACATTAATATGTATATAAATTTAATTCATTAATCATGTATTGCTTTGAAAATTAACAAAGATGAACTCACAATTTTTTTCTCTTATTTATTTTACACAATATATTTTCTTGACTATAAGACTGGATGCTTTAATTTCTTCTCTTTTCAAGTCCTTGTGATACAGGTTGTCAAGAAAGCAATTGAGCTCCGCAGCACATTAGAGCTTTGGTCCAAGCTTGATCCAATCTTATTAAAATTTATTATTAATTGCTTTCCACATTCTTTACATTCATTCCATATTTTTCCATTCATAATATCATTTTGCCATCTCATTTTTTATATATCATAATCATGCTACTTTGCTCATTTGCACTTATAATTATAAATATATTTTGCTATTTTAGAGATGGAAAAGTGCAGGGACTCCATGTGGGGTGGGTTCTAGAGAAATCCCTTTATGGTGAGCTCCTCCATCAAAATTATATACGAGCTATGAACAACTCCTCCATCCAATTTTAAAAGGCTACGAGCCCTAACCATAAAGCTCAATAGCCTACGAAGATGATCAAGTAAATTTCTTCTCTAGCATCATTTATGACAGGCTAGATTTTTTCTCTCCACATTTGCTCTTGAGTCACGGCAAGGAGTTAACATCATTCGTAAGAAGCTAAATTCTTTCTTGAGTTTCTACCTCATCAAGCACAATTCTTTCTCAAGTATAAATTAATTCTGCTCTTCAAGTCAAGTAAGTGTTACATATTAGAAATTTCAAAATTACTTTGCACATTTAAGATTTTTATGAGTTATTTTGCATGTCCAAATTTTGTTCTTATATTTACAAGCTAGAAAGACTTTTTATTACCACATGCATGACTCCTTGTTTATTGGACATGTTCAAGCATAAAAATGCAAATAGTGTAATTTATGATTACAACATTTATGTTTAGCAGCCCCAAATGTGCAGGGTAAGGGGGAAGAAGAGTCATCTATTATGACTTCTAATAGGAACCTATGATTAAAACGTGCAGCTTCATAATTTACGTCAGTTACAAGTATTAACTGTGATACTAAACTTAAGATATATATATATATATGTGTGTGTATATATCTGTACCCTTATCATATAATATGGTCAGCCTTGGACTTTAACAACAGGAACTTCATGTGCTGACTTAGGAACTTAAACAAGTTCATAAAACTTGGTTGAGCTCATCCTCATGATAACCCATTCTGAGGTGAAATACCTTGGATGAGGTAAACAACCTCAGATGAACTCAATCCAAGCTCAACTACTTGAACTCATCCTCATGGCAACCCATTCCAAGGTGAACTACCTTGGATGAGGTAAACACCCTCGGATGAACTCAACTACTTGAGCTCATCCTCATGATAGCCCATTTCAAGGTGAACTACCCCTAGATGAGGTAAACAACCTCAGATGAACTCAACTACTTGAGCTCATCCTTATGACAACTGAGCTCAAGTCTAGTTGAATAGTTAAAATGAGAAAAACCTTGAAATGTTTCAATATAATAGCCAAGGTGATCCATGAAGTTAGGTGAGATATTCAAGGATGTCACCTAATAAAATTTCTAAAACACCCAATGAAGAATATATATATATATATTATGAACTTTTATATAGCGTGGAGGCCCTGTGGGCTGTAGTCTATTAGAACAAGCATACAATAAACTAAAAAGAAATCTAAAACACTGGCACTAAGCCTCCTAAAGCCATGTTAATCATTTTGAATCTACTCTAGAGATCTCGGCTTGTAGCTAGTTGGTTTACTTCGCCAACTTTTCAAGTCAGCAAGCTTGTAGCCAGCTTGCCATTTCACTAGCCATCCTGTTCCACCTCTCACGGGCCATTCATTAATAAGATATGCTAAGCCCCTATTTATTGAATATATTGAATATAATATATTCTTCATGTTTTAACTAAAAGTGAGTGGCTTAAATGACATTTATTTATACATTTGTGGAACCTC